GTGATTGCAAAGTCTCAGAAGAAATCCTACGGGGTAGGTAAAGGGGGTTGGTAACACTGCTGCTGCCTGAGGAGGAGGCTCAGCAGCCCTAGTGCTACTCCTGGCCTAAGCCTGAGCTTCTCCTCGGCATGTTAAACCTCGTGCTGCGCCCACGCTCTGCAGGCAGAGGCACCAGCTCTTCATTCATTCGCAACGCCGATACCGGCAGTATTACCTTAAAATTACGACAATACTGATCCCACGCTCCCAAATTAATAGAGTTGATGGGCATTAAGAGGAAATCAGAGCTCCACCTCTCCCGTGTCACCACTCCCTTGCTGATTTGACTTCACAGGAGAGGAATCAGAGATAGGAAACAGGGCCCCATCATTCCGGGATGAATTTAGCCAGCAGTGGAAGCAGCAGAATTTGGCTGGTCTAATCCCATCGTCGCCCTCCCAATTCCTCCTGGGAAACACCTCCCACCCTCCACATTGTACACCCGGATTCGTGTGCAGGCAGCTCTGCACAGGGATGAGGAGAGAGGAGAAAGCCTAGGGTGAGCTAGGAAAAACGGTACAGGCAGTAAGAGACTTGGGAGAGAAGAAGGAGGAGGCAGAGCCACAGTGGTGACAGGCAGGTCAGCATTAGCAGCTCGGAGTGTTGGCATTTTTAGCAGAAAATGCATTTAAAAATGCGACAGTAAAACGCTATTAGCGTATCCCTCAGTCTGCAACATCTGGGCACGAGTTTAATGCAGCAGTTAGGGCTCCTTTGGGGGCCGGCACACACGCTTGGAAACACAGAAATTTCCCTTCCATTTTGGAAGAGCCCTAGCTCCAAACTGAGAAAGCTTTGGGGCATTTTGATGCTTTGAGTTATATGCAGTTTCTCATCACCCCTGTGACCTCAGCCCATCTCTAACCCCAGTCTTTGGTTCCTGGGCAAGTTACCCTGAGGCCACTGCTCATCCATCTGACCTTCCCTTGTGGCCTTGAGGCCTTGTGCTCCTCCCAGGAATATATACAGGTTAAATGCACCTGCTACAAGAATCAGCACAGTCGGCAGCAGATTCTTTTGGGGATTCCTTGAGCTTCTCAAGCTGCTCCCTCCTTTGCAAGGGTTTGATCCAAATGCAACTATTCACATTTTCCTCTGTCCATGGGTTTGCTCTACCACCCAATGCTTTGCTCTGAACCCCAGCATCAACCTCCATCCTCCCTCCCTGCTCCACGCCTGGGGTGCTGAAGGGCTGCATTAACATGAGCACCAATTAACTGGCAGCGTGGAGACCTGCTACCAGAGCAGAGATGGGGCTTGCACATCCATATGGAGCCCTGGAAGCTCGGGGATGGAAAAGCCTGCTTTTTGCAAGGGCAGTTCCTCCATGAAATGAAAATAGCGTGCTAAGAATCACACACAAATGTGGAAAGAACATGCCTGGCTAACACTGACAGCAGCGGATGCCTCCCATCCTCCCAGTGCACATAGGCAGAGGGGACTGTGCCTTTCAAAGCACCAGCATCTCCCCGCCTCCGCAACAGATGAAGGGCATAAATCAAAGCAAGGAAAAGGGGTTTTCTTGTTCCTGTGGAAAGGGAAGGCCCTGCCAACCCCGAATCATAGAAGGGAGGAAACAATGATCATATTCCAAGGTGCAAGAAACCTCAGCCTTCAGTTTCTATTCAGGGTGCTGTGTAACAGGACCCTAAAAGCAGCCCCCTTCCTCCCTTTGATCATACAGTCCATTGTTCAAGAACTCGGATTACGTCACTGTGGTGCCCTTCATCTTGCTCCTAAACAATGCTGATTTTCTTCAGAAATACTAAAATATTGTTAGAACCGCTCAAGTATTTTTGCACAACCTCAAAGCGTTATCTTTAAGCAAGATGCCTCAGCTTCAGCACAGGACTGCCTGGAATGCGGGCCGAGCAACGTGCACCCTTCGGAAAAGGCTGGCACAGGAGAGGGCTCCTGCTGCTGCTCTCAATGATCAGTCGTTCTGAGAGCCTGCCTGAAAAAACATCATTTTGCTGAAGTCATGCTGCACCTACGCCCTGCAATTCTGGGCCCAGACCTAAATTCCTAAGTCAGACTTTCAGTAGCTTCTTCAATGTGACATCCCCAAAGGTGTCACAGCAGCAGAGAAGACCCGAGCAATCCAGGTCAGGCAGGGAACAGCTGGGTATCTGTGCAAAGAGAGTCCCCTAAAACCTCAGCTTTATTTCAGATTCTTTCTCACCAGCTTCCTGCTTATATCGTCCTAAATTTGGGCTGCCTTGTGAATGCTCCCAAAGGGCAGCAATTTTCAGTAACTAAAGCAATGCAGAAGCATTTGGAGCTCTCGCAATGATCTCACAGAGCTGCACTCTACTATCAGCAATTTTTAAATTGATGAAAAACTCGTAAATTCTGGACACAGCACTCAGCGCACAAAGCGGGCTGAGAGCACTGTTCCTTGAGCAAGAATTAGCAAATTCCTTCGATTTCGGTTCACTGAAAGGCATCATCACCGAGCTGTCAAGCATCAGCTGGCTGAAGGGTTTTATTAGTAAGTAATTACATTTAGGGCAAATCAGATTATAAAACTGATCCGTGGAGATCAAAATGCCCACGAGTGATGCCAAGTTCCTCATGACATTGACAGGCCTCAGTTACTCGGACCATGGGAGACAGCAACTCTTACGAATAACTCCCTATTCTAAAGGGGTTAGAGTCTCTAGTGTGGCCCTAATTATGGCAGCATCGTATATTTTAGAGATTGCTAAAAAAATCATTTAGATATATGATAACAAGAACCAGAGAGCTAAGCCCCCTGCTCATCCATAGCCTGAATGTGGGCACATCCTCCTTGTGCCGAGCGCATCCCAGCCCTTGGCTCAGGGCATGTTAAGCCGGGATCGTGTGGCTGGTCCCAGTTTAAGGCGAGTGTTGCGCGTGGAGGTGGCCGAGCTCCCTTGGGAAGGCCCCGCACGCGGAGCCGTGTGGGAATGCGGGATGTACGGGGATGGAGGATCCGCAGGGATGGCGGGATCGGAGCCGCCAGGCGACTGGGCAGCAGGACTGGGAAGGGAAAGGCTGGACCAGGCGCAGAACAAAGGCCGCCCTTTCCACAGGTCGCCTGGGCTCCTCGGGAGCACGGGACAAGATCTAAGACAAGATCTAACGCACAGTCCTGGGGCGGGAGAAGCAGCGGGTGCCCTGACCTGCCTCATGGGGACCCCGCTGCACAGGGGACCCCGCGTTTTCCCGCTCTCTCGTGCCCTCTTTCCCCAGAGGCGTGGGGGGACAGCGCATCCACGCAACGTTCTCTGCAATGAAAGCTCGAGCTGGGCATTAACCCACCTGGGCGCGAGGGTTAAACAGAGAGAAGGAGCGAATTTGGGGGATATCGGCCCCGGCCCGCGGCTGGTGCTCGGGGAGCCCCCCCGGCGCCTCCCGCCCGCGCTGCCCCGCCGGCCCGTGCGCGGTACCTGCCGTGAGGAGCTGCATGGCGTGCGTGAAGGACGGGTCCAGGCTGTCCTTCTCGGCCATCAGCTCGGGCAGGTACTTGTTCTCGGGCTCCATCTTGGCGGCGCCGGGCAGC